TGATGGTGAGCCCCTATAGTGCAGGGATGGAGAGGTAGGCAAGTGATGGTGAGCCCCTATAGTGCAGGGATGGAGAGACGGTAGGCAGAGATTGGGAGGTCCTTTGAGCTCTCGCCAGCCAGCCTGGCCCGCTTGCTGAAGTTGCAGGCATGCAACTTGAGAGAACACATCTCAAACAAAAAGTGGAAGGCTTCCTGAGAAATACATCTGGCCTCCACACACATGGGTACAAAGGGGTGTATGCAAACCTATGTACACATGCATCTGTGCACACACAGAAGCACACACATGATCATGCACACATATATTTATGCACGTTTACAAAACCCATGATCATAGTCATACAGAGTCATGGTGGAATACCTACTTCCCATACAGAGAACCCAGTAGATCATGGGTTATCTGGTGGATCATGGAGCCCATGAGGTTCAAGGTCACCCATACAATCATCATGCATGTTCTTTATGCACGACTGAAGACAGAGAGCTAGATATTCACTCTCTGTGTGGCTTCCGCAGCAGATGAGCTGGAATATTTATTATTTTTGGCATATATCCCACCCACATGTAGTACATGCATCCCTTCTTGTTTCTGAGATTGAAACTGCTGATGAAAAAGAAAAGGGGTTCCATCAAGACAGATTGGGCAGAGACATGATGATGAAGGGCCCCCAGAGAGGAGCACACTGGGTGAGCTGCGTCCCAGCTGACAATGCTTCCCTTCTGGGCTCATGGTCACTGGCTCCATAACAACACTTTGCTAGTGTTTTCTGGTCCTGCCCCGTGCTCCTAGTTGTGCTAATGTTATGGTGGTGGGTGACGGTGAGTATACAGGGCTCAATGTCAGAATAAGAGGCAGGGTGACCTTTATACTAAAACCTCCTCCAGGCAGAGAAAAGAGCACTTGCTGCCACGGAGAAATTTCCTGATCCCCCCCCCCATAACATTATATACTTAAATGCTTCCATAACTGTCTTTGGCTGTAAAAATCAGAGCGATAGCCATAGAGCAAGCTTGCTTGGGAGCTCATGGTGGGACGGTCCAGGTGAGTGGATGTGTGTAAGAGTAGAGTGTCGAGGGCAAGCAGGGGTGTAGGATTTGGGTGAGGGAAGAAACCCTCGCACAGCTGGGGCCATCTTTTCTGGCACCAATCGCTTCACGGTCACAGATGTTCCCCTGGCCTCCACGGTTTGCAGCCAGCTCAGTTCCTGATGCATCATTCACACGCTACCCTGATTCTAGGGCACTTGGTGGCCTGCCTGTCCCCCAGCCAAGGCCTCAGCTGTCCAGGGCATTGCTGCTCTGCACTGTGGCTTGAGTGCCAGTGAGGACTGCCTCCCTGTGGTACGCTTCATCACCACCAAGAGAAGTAACTCACTCCTGTGGGATCCGTGAACCTTGATGCTATCTATGCAGAGGTAGAGAATTCATGTCATGTGTGTGTACATCCTGCACCTGCACTCTACCCAGGTGTCCCACGGCTTTCTCATGATGATCCTCTGATGTCCAGAAGCATCCACATCACAGATCCTGGGTTCCCCAGAGGTTAAGTCACTCAGTCATACACCTGCACACACAAACACACACTCAACCACACAGGCATATGTGCACATGCACACACATAAACATCATATACATGTGTGCACACACAAGCCCAAATGCAGGTGTGTGTGTGTGCACATATTCACAAGTGAACACACATGCACATGCATGCACATTCATGCACACAAAATGACCCTGGGAATGCCAATATTTTACAGCTACCTGCTCTCCTCCCCCACTTTGATGGTATTGAGATTTCTGTAAAGCCTCATTAAGGAAGGAACCTGGAAGGTCATCCAAAGGTCTCCTTGTGGGGAGGGCCTGGTTGGTAGGCAGAGCTGAGTTCATAAACATCAGGGACAAGGTTTAGATTATGATTGAATATCTGCAAGCTCTTCTAGCACTTTGCTCAGCACCACCGCTGAAGTGATCAGAGGCTACACCTGTTTCTACCTGTGCTCAGCCTCCGCCCCCAGATGTGTATAGTACCCAGAATCTCATAAGGTGGAGTATGAGACACCAGCTTTCCCGAGCCAGGGTTTGAACGTGGAAATTTCCACACTCCTTTGCAAGGCCCTAGACCATGTGCGTGTTGGGCTTTTAGTGGTTTTCACTGGATTGAGTTGCCTGTCCGTAGTCTGGACAACAGAAGCAGACAGTTGAACCTCTGGCCTGGGAGCAGGTGTGTGGGTCTTCTGGGCTGTAGGGGGGGGGATCGGGGGAACCACCCAGGGGGGGGCCGGGACCGGCCCCCCGTGGGGGGGCGTTGGCTGGGTGGTGGCTGGCTTCTCAAGTCTGTTAGGGGGCACTCTGTGGACAGCCAAGCCCAGGCTTATGGGGGGGGGGGGCTGGGGGCATGGGAATGGCCCAGCTGTGTTAGCGCGCCTGCCTTATGCTCCCAGCTGTTGCTTTACAACAAGGCTGCTGTCAGTAATTGCCAAATGTTCACACTCCCCACCCACTCCCCAGGCATTGTTGCATGTGCTGGCACCCGCCACGGGGTTGAACTGCTTTATTTTATTTATTATTATTTTAAAAAGAGACACCAGAATTCTATGCCTGGGAAGGAGCCAAGCTGGCCTGGTGCTGAGTGCGGAAATATTCCATCTCTCTTCTGTGCCCAGAATTATTTTTGTTTTCTTTGATACACAACCTAGATACAGCCACAGTAAGGAAATTGGTTGATTTTTCGAAACCCAAACTCCTTTCCTGTTTATCAGCTCTTTTTTTTTTTTTTTTAAAGCTACCACTATTACCCCGGGTACCAGGCTATCTTTGTGGGTGGTGGTTCATCCATTTTTTTTTGTTCTGCTTCATGGGTACTGGGGATTACTAGGAACATGTATGTGCCAAACAAGTATTCTTCTACTAAGCTGTATCTCTAGCCTTCTTCTTACTTTTTATTATTTTTTAAAAAAATTTAAATGTAGTAACTCATCAACTGTGATTATGCTATCCATACACTTTTGGGTGTGGGCCTTCTACTGGAGTGTGGTTGACTTACTAGGAGCCACACCCTTACAAAATGAATTCTTCCTCCCCCCAGAAGCCATCAGCTGTCCATAACTCTTCAGCTAAGGGTGGGGGAGTGTGAAGGCCTTCTCACTCCGTGCCGGAAGGTTGACTGGTTTGATCCAGTTCAGGTAAGCGCAGTTGCTGTGGGGTCATGAGTGCAGTGGTCCTGTCCAGAAGGCACTGTTTTGCTCCAGCTCCCCCGATTTCTGGCTCCTCTGCTGTGGTTCTGATCTACCGCGGTCCCTGAGCCTTGGGAAGAGGTGCGAGATAGGTGTCCTGTTTGTCACTTATTTCCCATACTTTGGCCAGCTGTGAGTTTCCGCATTAACCACCTGCTGTACAAAGAAACTCCTCTGCTGAGACTGCTCAGCTTTTAGGTAGTAAGAGATGAATTTAGAGCACAATTCAATACAGCATCCTGGGGCCTATGAAGTCCCCCATCCGTGGGTTCTTGGTAAGATCTTTAATACCAGGCATGCGCTTCCTTCTTTGTGGACCTTAAATCTCATTAGAAAGTGACTGCTTACCCTGTAACACACAGGGTGTTACAGTGTACCCTGTGCCAGTGTTGCACACATGAGCACACCTCGCCATCCTGTTCATTATTGTGGTTCATGGGCATCATAGCTGAGTAAGTCTGTTGATTACCTTCCCTGACCCCAACCCCCCCCCCCCCCCCCCACACCCAGTGCCGAGAGAGCTAGCTAGTAGGGAGAAAGCTTGAGTACCAGCTTGGCTTCTCCTTATCCTGCCACCCACGTGTGTGGTGTCTCCAGAAGTAGAGTTTTACCATCAAACTCTGGGGAGCAACCAAGAGCAATGGCAGTAGCCTACGTTGTCGTAGGGGTCTTTGAGGTAGCTTGATCAACAGCTGGAGGGCAGTTTATCCCACGCCCTGCACTGCCCTCTGTAATTGACAGCCTAAGGCTTCTGCGATGATCATAATCTCCTCTGTAGGGTGAGTCTAGTCCAACCCCCTAACTGTCTTCATCTATATGAAACATTAGATTTCCGAATGGCTTTTTCATAGATCCGGAGAGCTAGTTATGAATTTCTTGACAGGACCTCTCTAAGTTGCCTAGGCTGACTTTGAACTCAATCTGTGACCCAAGCAGGCCTTGAGCCTCCCAGGCAACTGTGATTCTAAGCCTGGGAGACCACGTAGGGCTCTTTTTTTTTTTTTCATCTAGTGTGTGTTCCTAAAAGTGTGTCAGAGGAAGTGGCTGTTGTATCTTGGAGGCAAGAGTGGTTACTGAATGCTGTTATCCCAGAACCAATACCAGTCTCTGACTCAGGAGGGATTTTGTGGCATCTTTCTCTTTGGTGTGACCACATACTTGACAGGAAACAAGACACAGGAAGCGTTTATTGTGGATCCTAGTTTGAGGGTATGTGTGTTTTGCCTCACAGTTTGAGGGTACGTCCAAAAGGGCAGGGAGGGCAGGGCAGCAGGAACATGAGGCAGCTGGTCACGCTCCCTCTGCAATCGGGAAAGCAAAGAGAGGTAAAGCTCTCTTTGCTCAGCAAGAGAGGTATGCTCAGCTTGCTTCTCTTGTTCAGTCCTGTGCTCCAAGTGTTGCCCGTATTTAGGGTGAGTCTTCCAATGTTAATGAACTCAGTCTAGAAACTTCTTCATAGCCATGCCCAGAGATTTGTTTCCTGGGAGATTAACCATCCCAGACCTAGTGGTGGGTTTTTGGCCTCAGTTGGATCTGGGTGGAAATCCTGACTGATATGCCACTTAGGCATCTTAATCTCTCTGGACTTCTGGGGGCTTCATTATCCTGTCATGAGAAATATGTAGGCCAGCCATCCTGTGTGTGCAGATTCTGGGCACTTGTTTCTAGGGCAGTAGGTTTCCTGGTTTGCCTTGTGGCTTCTTCCACTAAGTCAGAAGGAGTTCGGGGCACGGTGGTTCATTGCTGGCCTTCCATAGCCCAGCCAGCATAGGACAGATACTCAGCAAGGATTTGGCCATAATGACTGAGAAAATGACTGGTAGGGTCTACTGTGGAACACAGCCTCCTGGAAGCCTGTTCTTTCTGTTATCAGAGTGAGGCCAATGTGTTCTAGGAATACACAGCTGGGGAAGGAAATGTTCGGAGCCTAGGAGAGTCAGCACCCGGGGAGACATCCTTATCCCCACTGACAAGAGAGTCTGCTAGGGTAGAAAGTCATAGATAGGATGAGCAGGGAGGAGACACGTCCCCACACGCTGCAGGTCCCCAGGGGGAGAGTACATAGGAGACTCACATAATAGTTGTTGTCTCTTAATAGTTAATAGTGACACTCTGCTTATGAGATACTGAGTAAAGAGGCAGCTTTCCTCCTCTGTTGGCCTTGATGGCCAGTTCAGGCTCCTTGTGGGATCCTGCCAACGCGTGACACTGAGTTTGTGAGGCGGGAGCAGGGCACCTTCCATCCCCCCCTCCCACTTTCAGGGCCCGTGCCTCAGTGTGGATACCCTAGCGTCTGTGCCTAGACTCAACTGGGCCTCTGTATCACCAGAGGCAGACTCAGGTCATGGTTTGGTGACAACTGGACCAGGAATTCTGGAGACCTGCTTGAGGTGGTGTTATAGTCCTTGGGAAGGTACACACACATCCAGCCCTATTGACTCTGCTGTACTTGGCTCTTAAGGACTTGGGTGCAGGATCACGGCAGACATGCCTTAACCCATAAGAGACTTAAAGAATTCTTTCTTCCTTTCTTTCTTTCTTTCTTTCTTTCTTTCTTTCTTTCTTTCTTTCCTTCCATCCTTCCTTCCTTCCTTTTCTTCCTCTCTCTCTTTCTTCCTTTTCTCTCTCTCTTTCTCTCTCTCCCTTCCTTTCTCTCTTCCTCGTTTCCCTTTCTTTCTTTCTTTCTTTCTTTCTTTCTTTCTTTCTTTCTTTCTTTCTTCTCTCTCTCTCTCTCTCTCTCTCTCTCTCTCTCTCTCTCTCTTTTTGTGTGGAGACCAGTGGTCTTCAAGCGTATCCCTTCAGAATATCTCCTCCTGAAGGCAGGAGGAGCCTTCAGAAGCCTAACTTGTCTCCATCAGGTGAGAAGCAGGGAACAAATTTTGAGGCCATGGGTGTGAACTCTCCCTGGTCTTCTGCAAGAACTGTTGGACCCCTCCACCAACTCCAGCCTCCTCCCATCCTCAAGGAAAATTACCGCATGGGGCTGGACTGGACACTTCCCATTTCCAAGGTGAGTAGGCGGAAGTGGGGGTTGGGCTGGGACTGTTCTTGCACACTCGCGGTCTCCCCCTCAGGCGCGTGTGCAATAGGAGGCCGTGTTCCTGCACCTGCTCAACTGTAATTCATGGCTCTCTTGCCTAGGAGGAGTGACTCAGCCCACACGTGGGGAGGGCAGCCCACAGCAGCTCTAGGCTCTTAATTGACTGCTGTCCCCGCAAGGTCGAGAGTTAGGACAGCCCGGTCACTCCAGCTGCTCTGACTCTGAAGCTTGGTTTAAGAAGCTTTGGTTCTCTTGGACAGATTGATGCCCCCACCCCAGACTCCCAGATGTGCAAATTGGCCTGACACAGCAGCTTGGCCTGACCTTGTGACTTCCAGGGGTGTCCAGGAGCCTGCTTCCTACAGTCAGAAGTACTTCCCCACACCGCCTGGACCTCATGTTTCTAGAGCCTGGGTTCTGATAAGCATAGCGCCTGGCTGCTCCCTGCCATCTTTATCCTCTGCAGAGCATGAGAGGCTGCCTGCTAGGCCCACCCTCCCAGTCCTTAACTTTAGCTTTCACTAACTAAACCGTTTCGTCAGCCTCCAAACACCTTCGTGTTGAATCTCTGCTGTTACACAATTGCCAAAGGGGAGGAATTAGCATCAGTGCACTCATAAATTTGAAAATTATAAACAAATTAGGAGAAACGGGAAAGGGAAGATTCATCTTTGCACTTTTGCAACAGAGACTTTTGCAATAGAGATGAGACAAGAGATTTGTGTTCTGGCTAAGGTCAGAAGACCGACACAGACACAAGTTCATGTCTGTTTTCCTTTAAACCCTAGTGGGACTGCAAGCTTTGCTCCCTTTCGGGACAGACCTGTGGATCTTCTAACAGTTGGGCTACATGCTAGCTAATACAGATTCTGGGGATAAAATCAGATTTCTCAATGTTGCTAATGACTATAGTACTTCCAAGCAGGGTCATGGTCTGAGTTTGTCCTCCCACTAAGATGTTAGTAGCGTAGGCGTTAGTCATTTTCTAGGCTGTGAGTGAGTCCTTGGGATGAAGCACCTTTGCAGAGTAGTTAGGTGAACAAGTGACCGATTTGCCAAATGAATTAGGAAGAAATTGAAGCACACGCCTAACATTAAGGAATGACACACATGGCCACTTGGTGTTTATATCATGATTTTAGTGAAAGGGGCAAAAATTTAGCACCCAAGAGTCAACCCTCGGAAGGTTTTGTTAGTCTACAGGGAAGCGACGATCAGCTAGAACAGTTAAATAATTCTGCCTCTGCCTTAATAATGCTGAGTAGCAAGATATTTTGAATTCTCAGTTGATCTGTGATAAAGATTATGCTTCTCAGTGATGGAGCTGGGGCTGAGGTTCTGCTGTTTCTATTAGGTGTGAGTGGGCTTGGATCCAGGCGTGGGTGAGTCTTGGGCTTGTTCCAAGAGGTTTTGTGCTAGGGCATCACTATGCCACTGAGTCATAGGGGGCACAGTAGGACACAGCGGCCACAGGGGGCACAGTTGCACCTCTCATCCCCATTGCCTCCTTGCACCTCATTGGCCTCGACGAGCTGGTGCCGAATCCCATGGTCACTGGAAGCAAATATGCTCTGTTCCAAGGGGATGGGTAATGGCTGTTTGCTAAGCGGTAATTGAATTTCACATGCCAGTCTGAAGGGGATTTAATGGCATGGCTTCTCAGACTCCTCCTTGATTCTCTCCTGCTCTCTGTCTTGCAAAGGGAGCAAAGCCCTCTTGTCAGGGGCTGTAGTCACGCCCTGATCTAGATTCAGAGCTGGCCAGGGGTCATTATTCAAACTGTGGATTTAGCTGTTTGGTATTCACACCTCCCTGATGGATTTGAAAAATATAATGTTTTCTAACAGCTGTAAAGACAAGAGCTAATGTTACCAGCTATACATAATATCCATGAAATTACACTGAATAATGTGATGGACTGTTTAACTGTCATTAACACATTTTGAATACCTAATTTGAAAGGTTAATGAAATTGACAAACATGACCACTTTGGGGCTCATCAATACCACTTAATGACGAAGCTCTTGTTTTCCAGTTATAGAATCAACAGAAGACTTCGTGCCTGGAACGGCATGGCTTTTAATCATAAATTAAGAAGCTCTACACAATGTTTTGCTATAATTTGGAGTGTGCATAGCAGCTTTATGGAGTAATAATAATTAATATGAAGAGTTGTTACGATTTGACATGGCTATGTTTTAGCTTTTCTGAAAAATATTAAACTTGGTGAGGGAAAAACGTGTTTCATTTGGACATATTAAGGTCATAAGGATAAAAGACAACTTCCCAGAGACCCGAGCACTTCTTGGAGCCCAGTGTTCCCCTCGAAGGATCTCCTGGTCTGAGTAAATAGTCTATAGTTCTATAGTTTTATATTAAACCAGGGAGAAGCGCTGAGAGCTTAGTTCGGTTGGTAAAATGTTTGCCACATGTCTTTGTCATGTTCTGTTGCTATGAAGCAACACCATGACCAAAGCAATTTATACCAGAAAGCATTGAATCAGGGGCTTGCTTACAGTTTCAGAGGGTGGGTATGTAACGGTCATGGTGGGGGGCGTGGAAACAGGCGGGCAGGCATGGCACCGGAGAAATTATATGGGTTATATTTAGGAACACATATACATATATGAATGTAATAACAGTTAATGAAAAAAAAAGACCATGGATTTGAAAGAGAGCAAGGAGGGGTTGATGGGAGGGTTTGGAGGGAGGAAAGGGAAGTGAGAAGTGTCGTAATTATAATATTAAAAATAAGGATAAAATGTTCTGTAAAAAAGAAGAAAGAGACAAGAGCTTACATGTGATTCATACGCCCAAGGCAGAGAGAAAGGGAGGAGTGGGGGAGAAAGAGAGCAAATTGGGAATGACCTGGGCTTTTGAAACCTCAAAGCCCACCCCCAGTAGCATGTCTCCTTCACCCAGGCTACACCTCCTAATCCATCAAAACAGCTCACCAACCAAGAGTTCAAATATGTGAGCCTATGGGAGCCATTCTCATCCAAACCACCACACCACATGTTCATGAACATCTGAGTCGATGTCTCAGTCTCCAGAACCTGTCTGAAAACCCAGGTGTGGCAGCATTGTATAGTCCCAGTGGACGTGGAGCAAGTGCTCCTTGTGCCGTGGGGTTTCCACCATCAGTTTCCCTGCATTTGTGGCTTTTTCCTAGCCATTTGTATTGATGTTCACTTTTATTCAAATGATCGCATTTGGGTTTATCAAATAGCAAGGGGTAGTTGTGGAAAAGCTTAAAAATAAAAGAGAATAAGAAAGTAATACTCCTCTCCAATTTTGGAATTCAGGCATCATAAATGGCATCCTAACTATTAATCAAGGTTGACTAGAGGAATGGAGCCAGTACACACACACACACACACACACACACACACACACACACACACTTATTTGACTGGATTACATAATGGGGACAGGTAGTCCCCCAGTGGTTTTTGTCATCCTGGAGAAGCAAAATATCCAGAAGTTTCTCAGGTCAAGACATTGGAAGTCACGGAACTAGAACAACCAATGATTCAACCCCAGCTCAGGGCTGAAGGTCAAGGACCTAGAGCTGCTGGGGTCTCCCTTCCTGGGAAGCGTCTAGAAGTTGGTGTCTAAGGTTCCTGGAAGATGGAATCAGGCACAGACACACCCGTCCAGGAAGAGTGGACTTTGCTGTGTCCACTTTCTCCTCCTTCTTACTTTTGTTCTCCCTGAGCCCCTTGCTCATTGGGTAGCACTGTTCACATTGATGGAGGGTATTTTTCCTTTAGGTTGCTGCCTTACTATCAGCGACCTTGTAAGTGACCTCATAGGCATGACCCAAAACTGTAGTGCATGCATTCAGAATTCTCTGGATTCAATCAAGTTGACAATCAAGATTAAATGTTGAGTTGTGAGTTGTCTTTTCTCTTCATGTGTGTGTGTCCCATAGACAGACATGTGTCACCTAGTGATGGGCAGACACTCTGAGAAATGCATCACAATGTCATTATCTGAATGTCATAGAACAGTCCTACACAACCAATATGACACCAGTGTTACCAGGCAGGTTACACAGTTTATGGAGGATGTTAGCACATTTGGATTTGTTTTATGGATAAGAAAAACATAGGTTCATAAAGTATGTATGGTGTACCGGGGTTGTGTGAACTGTGAGTAAGTGCTCCCCATGGACATTAGAGCCAAACACCTGCATATGCCAATGGAAACCGTCAATTCGAGCATTCGTTAGGATGTAATTCCCCTTTGGGGTTCATCGCAGAGGAATGACCTGGTCTTTGACAAGTTTCGATACGCAAAGATACCTTCATCTCTCCTCTCATGGAGGAAAGCAAAGTCAATACCACCGTAAGTAACCTCTGTTCCACCATGGGGCAGGCAGTGTTATGATAAGAAAAGCCTTTGATGAACCAACTGCACAGCATTAACGAGGACAAATGGATAAAACATGAGACCTCTGAAGCTAGGGCCTTTCGAAGTCAGTGTGAGCGATCAGTGGGGCTGCCTGAGGTCTTCGCGAACTCTGCCGGTCTCCACGAGTGCGGGCAGGCTCTCTTAAAGCTTTCTGTTGTAAACTTCCATCCTATGACTCTCTTGGAGAGTCTAATTCAGCAGCTCTGAGTCGGGGTCCAAGGTCCCTTTGTTTTAGGTGTCTTGGGTGAGGGGTAGTCATTTCAGGGTACCACTGTATTTGCTCTGTGAACTGGACAACGCCATTGAAGGTTCATTAGACAAACACCTCATGTACGCATGCAGAGTCCTAGCTCTTACAAGTCTAGACGATCAGAGTTACTCCTCTAAGAAAGGGCTAAAGGAAACACCAGACAGAAATCTCTAGGGATGAGGAAATGCTTCCTTTGAATGGTTGGTTTCCCTGAGGGTGACTTCCTAAGGATTGACTTTTCACTCTGAAGTATGGAAAATCATATTAGTACCGAATTTGTACTATGAGCATCACAGTAATGAGCTCAGCTTGAGTGCCAAAGATCTATGACCCATATTGGCTGAATGAGCCTCAGGGATGGCTAAAGGTAACCGGGTACCTTCAGGATGGATCCAATCTCCTCCACAGAAAGCCCTAGGCTGTGTGTATACTTGGCAGGGCTTATGGTAGTCAGGCTTCCTGTGTGGAGCTAGGTTCTTGTCCCCACTGCTGGGAGGCCTTGGGCAGGGGTCCCTCAGGCTGTCTACTGTACCTGGAACACATGACTAAGCAAAAAAAGGGTCTTAATTAGGTTCCCAGGGCTTAATATTTGTTTCTGTATATAGGCTGTGAAAGTTTAGTAGCCTCTCATTTTTCAAAAATTCCTCCAATTCATTAGGGAGGAGATGCTTTCAGCACCAAAATCTTGGTGAGGAGGTAGGTGTGACCTATTACACAACCTGATCAGGACTTGGGGATCTGAGCAGTTAGAAAGAGTGAGGTTATAGAATCTAAGCATCCAGGTGAAATCAAATGGCTCCTGTGAAAGTCATTTTTTTTTCTTGCCAAAATGCTTTCAGCAGAGTGCAGGAAATTAAGGGTGTGTGAGTGTGTGTGTGTGTATGTGGTTAGCTGGCAACAATTCTCAGATGTTAATGCTAAGAAGATATTTCATAGCTATTTCACTCAATACTAGCACAAGGACAATCCCCGTGAGTCAAGTTCACTTGAGATGCTGCTCTGGCTGAAGCTTGGAGCGGTGGGGAAGGATGCCTGGAGCCCCAGGCTGCTCCTAAGATGAGTTCCAGATCCCTGGGTGTGTCAGTCAAATGGCGTCTGTGTCACTGGAACTACAGGGGTCTTCAGGACGGCAAGAACACGATGCTGGCACATGAGGCCTGAGCTGAAAACCTGCGTTCGGCACATGAGCTGGCTGCCAGAGTCACTGTGAGCGGTGCAATTTCTCCAAACGTCCACGATCTCCCTAACCCTTCCTTAGGCTTTGTTGCTGTCTGTGTTGTTGGGCCCAGGGTGAAAGGCCCAAGGCCACCCACCAGGTTACAGAAGGGTTGAGTACAGCTTTGTTAAAAACAAAGTTAAAACCTTAAAAGGTTTCAGATCTTAGAAAACGTACAGGATCTGCTGTCAACCTGCAAAATTATGGCTGATCAGTCTAGCTGACTATTGAGCCATTTCTCAGTTAAATCGGCCCGAACAGTGTGCTATTCTGATTTTTGATGTTTATTTACTTCCTCATCAGTGTTTATGTTGGGTTCAGTTGCAAGACTCTGGAGAAACCAATAAAACTTCCATTATGTGGGGGAAAAATAGATGAGTATAGAAATTGCTTTCTCTTTGCTGGGCCACAGGGAAGATTCTTGTAGGCTAGCTTTGCTCTTTGGGACCTATTAGACCCTCAGATCACACAGGCATTGGGGAGCTCAGGGGGCAAGCAGCCTCTTCGTAGGGTTAGGATGTCACTGTCACACATTTATATTGAGGCTCATGCTAAAAAGGACTTCCCTGTATGGCGAATATGTGATATAGTTCCCATCTTCAGCCCGCCCACCAGGGCAGCTGCCTGAGCATGGCGGTGGGGGGGAGGGGATTCTCTGCCCTAGCCTCCCCTGCCAACTCCGGCAGAAACTGTTTCCAGCCACGGTGCCGGAGCCATGACGGTCGCTCTTTCTCTTCTGGAATCTGGTCAGGTGCGCCTGTCTTGAAGATGGTGCAGCTCTGCCTTGAAAAGGAGCCAGCTCTCTTTGTGTCATGGTGACAGATTCCTTAATTAATCTGCTCAGATTGTCAATAATGTAATTCGCTGATGATTTAGGAGCCAGTTATGTGACTGCTGTGCCCGTTGTGGGGAAACATCTGAATAATTCAGCTAATAGATGGGAACTCGCCCAGATCGCTGTGACACGGGGAGGGAGCCGCTAATTCGAACAGGATGAGCACAGACAGGGCGATTCCAGCAAATTCCAGGGAGCAGAGAGGTTGTCCTATGGCTAGGGGCAGCAGCTGCCTGGTTTAATTATTGTCATTTTTTTTTTTTTGACAAAAGAGTTCAGGTCCCAGACTTTCAGGCAGAGGCCACTAACACACTCCCGAGAAAGTGAAGTTCAAGAGAAACACATGTGATCGCTGCCTGCTCTGGGCTGTGCACATGTCAGTGGGTTTTCTAGGCACAGAACACTGGCTTTTATTTTATTCCAACTAATGGGACTACCAGGTCTGACTAAGTGAGATG